TCTACAAAACCGTTCAAGGTGAAAACGTGTGGGAATTGATGAAACTTTTTATGACGAATAACAATTTTAAATTTTTCATGAGGGGTGGGTCAGATGGATAGGAAGTAAGGGTAAAACTACCCCAAGTTTTTTGTACGTGTCTTGTCCCAGGATTTAATGTCAGAATATTTTATTTTGGAGGTTTACATACAAAAAAGGTCCTTTTATTAAACTTCAAAAAGTTAAAAGAAATGTATATTTCTATAGAATCTGTAACTGATATCTATTAAATTTTTTATTTTCAATCTGTCGAAAAGGAAGCTTTTTTGTATTAGCACACCCTGTACAATAGAACAAAACCATAAAAAGAGAAACTAAAATATCGCATAAAACCCACGCCAACCCATTTTTCGAGTTTTAGCAAAATAATTTACCTTACATAAGGATAGGTTAGATCGTGATTGAAGATATCGTAGGTTTAGTAGGTTCGAGCTAACGCCTTTGGTGATAACAGTGAAAATGTGTAAAAGGATATAAAGGTGGGCAAGTTGAAAGGCAGAAACAGTGGGCAATTTGAAAATGGCGTTTAAATATTGCAAGCAAAACGATTCTTACATTTGCTTACGGCCGTCTGAACACACTGAGAAAAATATATGGTTTAATATTTTGAAGTGTATTTTCCTTAATTTATGACAATGAGTTATATTGTAAATGTTAATTATAATTAAACAATAACTTTATTAAATAATTGAATTTATTGTAACTGGTTTATTAGCAAATTTACTTCGTTGTGTCTACAGGCCCGAAGCCGGACTCACGTTCGATCCCGACTGACGTCATAATTTGAAATTACACACTGTACTTAAATCGGTATTATTTTCCGAGCGATAGAAAATTTAGATTAAGCTGGGTAAATGGAAGAGCGCCTGCTTTGCATGAGGGCTCTAGGGTCCTCGACCTCTAGGATTATCTCCAACCAGACTTTCAACATCCCCTTCAAATCCAATCGTAGTATCAAACCCATGATGCTGCAGGTCTTTCTCTCCACTCTATCTCTATCTTTTTGTTTGTTACTATTTTTCCAAATTTTGTAAGGTTGTTTTTTGAATTATTTTTACCCCGAAAACATTCTTTTAAATTCCTGACTCTTCAACATTCCTTTTCCTTCCATTTTTCAAGACTTTCTCTCTCTACCCGGATCAAGCTGGCCTCACATTCGCTCTGCGAGAAAAGGCCAGGAAAGCTCCATTACTATTAAACAGAGCTCTGTACAAGGGATTAAGACCGTCGGTAGACTGCGCTGCTGTACCACGCATCTCCACCGCGGGGAGGCTTAAGATGTGGAACCACCCTATCATGAGCTGGCCAAATAATCAGAAAAAGAAGAAGAAGAAGGTGGAACCACACTTCCACGCGCCTCTTTGCAGCCAACCCATCACCACATTTCGGCCTTGTATTATACCCTCTTTTTATTTATTGTACCTAAACTATTTAATTAAGAAATATATTGATTTTTGATTTGCTTTGCATGCGAGAGGTACCGAGTTCGATACTTCGCGCCTCTTATAACTTTTTTATTTTTATTTAATGAATTTACATAGCGAAATAATGTGGTCTAAAAAGAATTAATATTTTAAATTATTTACACTTTTTTATTACCATTTTGCTACAGTTTATAATAATATAATATGCAATTAAATGAATATTCCTTAATTGAAAAGTGTTGGGTTGGGTTTTGGGTTGGGTTGGTTGCTTTGTTTGTTTTAGTTTTATAATAACAATTATGAAGTCAGTCAGGTAAATATTACAATGTTTATAGGCACTCCACTCTGGAATTTCCTCACGAAATCAAGTTAAATCTAGTTTACTGCCACAAATATTCGCGTTGAGAAACTATTTAATAATTTCTACGACAAATAATTATTATTATTATAATTATTAATAATTATTATAATTATTATTATTATTATTATAATTATTATAATTAATTAATATCTAAAAATGATTTAAATTAAATATTTGTATAGAGCGACATCTATAAAACAATAGGGAATCTGTGTTAAAGCTAAATGTAAAATTTGTGTTATAAACCGAAATGTATCCCTTGAAAATGGATTAACAACGTTTTTCACAGTGAAAGTGAAGAAAATGTTTTATGAGCAATTCACAGTGAAGTCCGAGCCCGAATTTTGGTTATATTCGGGTTCTTACTTACCGTGAATTGCTCATAAAACATTTAGATATATTTAGTTTACTGACGGCGAAATTAAAAGGTCAATACAATGTTCATATAAACTTTTCAAATATTGTCGTTGAGAAACTATTTAATGCTTTTGTATTTTTGTATTGGGATAATAAAATAATTTTCACAAGTATTATTTTACAATAAGGGCACTTTAATAAAGTGACTTTATTTTAACGATTGCATGACATTTGACCACTGTCAACTAACTTAAAGCTTACTTCTGCCCCTGTTGCTAACTTCAGTCCGTGACTAAAACGCCATAATGCCACAACTTGTCAATGTGTATTTAAAAGATTACTTAGTGTCATGGAAACATGTACAATAATGGGCGTTTTAAAGGTGGGAGTAAAAGTGCTGCACTAAAAAGTTGTGATTTTTTACTTTTTTTCCAAATTGTTCAGACATAATGAAACCCTAGAATATAATTATAAACAAATATTTTTTTAACATATACATAGGTATACATATAGGTATGTATTTCTCTCAGTGTACAAAATTGAAAATTAAAAAAAATGAATAGGAAATGAAGAAAACTTTTTACAGTTAATTCAGTTAGGTAAACATAATTTGATTCAATTGTAATTTTACAACGAGAATATTAAATAATTTAAATGATTCATTAATTTAATGATTAAATTTGGTTAGATTTTATACAAAGTTGACCTCATTTTTATAACTGTTTGTTTGGTGGTTTTAACTTTATTTTTACGTTCGATATTTTCCTTTGTTAAAGAGACTCATTGTCCCAATACGACTTGATTGTATAAATATAAAATCAGATGAAGTAATTTTCATTTCAATAAAAGTTCAAGGCTGTTTAGTAGGTATCATTTGCATTTACTTTTATTATACAGGTCGAGTTAAACTGCGTATACGTATAAATTATGGCCTATTTTTTTAATAGTTTTTGACATGTAATGTTTTATTAGGTATTGCATTTTTATTATTTTACCCTTAGACGTGTAAACAAACACGATTTGTGGCTTCAAGATATATTTTGACAGTTGTTTGATGTTTTGTATTGTTTGGAGTTGTTTTTTACAAAAACAACCTAAAATGGTAGAAATTTCTTAAGGTCCATGGTTAAAGTGTCTCGGAAACGTCCCGGATTTTGCGGTTAACCACTAGGTCTTTTTACCAGAAATCATAATTTCTTACACAAAATAATAAATCTGACAAAAATAGAATAGAATTACACATTCGTAAAACTTATAATTGTTCACAAAATAAAAAAAAAACAGTTTCAGCCGCTCACGAGTACTAAAATACTGAAGAAAAATTGACTCAATGAACTGAAAATAAAGTTTTCATTTCTGTTTTCTCGACCTTCCCCTCCCATTTCCCCCCTTCCACCTTTTCCTAAAAATTATTTTCGTCTTCGTATCGACAAAATGCGCCTGCCGCGGACTTTTCCGCATTTGGTGAATTTTTTTTGTCTGTCCTGGATTTTGACATTTTTGATGTGGTCACTTTATGCATGGTTGTTGTGAAAAATACAGCGTAAATGCGACAGAAATAAGTCCTCTAAGTCATTACGCCGACATGTTTTATTTTACTATTAATTAAATATTGGATTTGTTAATAATACACAAAATTTTGTAAGTATACATTTTAATTTAATCAATCTATAACAATTCAAACACCCCCTTGAGGGTTTTAAATTACAATTTTTACTTGAAAAATACCCTATAATTATATGTATCGTAGGTATATGTACTTGTTGTGAAATTTTTAATCGAAATACTGAAAAATAAGTAATAATTTGTTAACTCCCCTCCAGGAGCAAATCTTGCGCACGACCCTGAGACATAAGTATTTAGTTTATATTTTTTAGGATTTCCCTTATAACTGCTCTGCAACCTACGTTAAATCTTGTAGCCAAACAAAAACGATGATTTTGTCATAAAATAATAATTTAAAAAATACTAACAAAAATTGAAATAACAATTGTCATTTCAAATTTTGAGCTGCCAACTTAAAAAAACACAAAAAATTACAGTTTTAAACCTTAATTTTGCCATTGTAACCACAAATTAGCAATTTGTATAGTTACCTATTTACTTTTTATGTTGTTTTTAATTTTTTATGATACTTTAATTTGTAATAAATTATTAATTTGTTTAATTAAAATACAAATTTTTATTTTTGCTACATTGGCACCGCTGAATTTGCTGTCACGGCCTAGTAGGGGCCCTGTAGGGCCCTGTAGGGCCTAAGTAGGCCGGGCCTACTGTTATTTATTTATAAAACTATTCAAATGAAGATACCCATGGTACAAGAATGTTCATGGCATGAACACTATTAATAATGTTCTTGCCTACTACCTTAAGAAGGTTCTGGCAGTAGCTACATTGCGGAAAGGGGTAAGGGAAGTTCATTTTTTACTTAATCCATAAATAGGGTTAGGTACCAGCAAACAAAATTAACTTTGTCATTTTATTACATTTGTAGATCGACTCTAAAAAAATCTCATTAAAATGGTTAAATTAATAATAAACTAATTAAATAAAGCACTTCCTAATAATTTTTACCATATTTTCTAATTAATTTGGGATAGGTAACTGTAAGTCATTAGTTATTAAGTTTGTGTGAAATTAAATTTTGAAACTGCACTGTTTTAATGTAAATTAGCTAGTTAGTGAGAAGCACAGAACATGAGAAGCTACGTGGAGCCTTGGGAATCGTAACGTAAACTTTTGAATCTTTGGCGCGTAACCGAGTCCCCGTAGTAGGGGAAAATGTTATCGACCCTGCACGAACACAAAGCGCTTGCGTTAGTATCCGTTCGATCCGCAAGTGATAGTGTTGTGTTTTGTACTGTCATAAATTTTGACAGAAAATGGCTAGCATAACAATCGAGAAAACTAAGTACGAGTGCGCTCAATTACCAAAGAGATGGCAAAAGGACGATATGCTACGTAAAACTGGTTTGTCAGTAAATAAAGTCGACTTGTATTACAACCGTACCGTGAGAAATGATGCCTCCCTTGTGCCACCTATCCGACAGACTGCTTCTATCTTTAAACAGCCCGTGACAGTGTACAAATCTCAGGAGAGCAAGGTAAAATCGGACTTTAAAAATGGAAACCAAGAAAAACCCAAGCAGCTGATTTGGGAGAAACGACTAGAAGGCCTACGTGCCTGCGATTTGGACGGTTGTGAGTTTGAGGCTATGAAACTTCCAAAAGGTTTGAAACCAGTTGGGCCCCATGTAACGGAAGAAACTATCATACAGAGTGTTGCTACAGCTTTACACGTTTCCACCACGCCAGTGACTGGACAGACAGGGTCCAAAAGTTCTCTCGAAAAAAATCCCGGTGTTTTTCTTGACCCCAAACAGCCCCTGGTGCAGTCAGTGAATATTTCCGATGATGATATTAAAAGTCAAGAGGATAGGGTAGCTGCAGCGAGGAAGAAGCTACAAGAGGCCCTTCGTTACTAATTTGGCAGTGAATTATTTAAATGTATACCATTAAATATGTGATTTTGCATAAAACAAGTACTGTGTATTTTACTTCTGAGAAGTTTTTTTTATAAATAACTTATTAAATTCGTAATTATTTAAGTTTTGTTTTTTAATACCTAGAGCCATTTGCTTACAAAAATTTAATTTGTTACACATGCTATATTTATGTATGTTATTAGGTAATATGATACTAAATTAATTTGTATAAACTTTGTAAGTATTAAGGTTGTCCATAAGGATTTAAAAAAATAAATGATTTTTTCATAGGTAGAGATTTGAAATATTAATATTAAAATATTGGTATGTTGTACGAGCCCTAACCACATAATGTTCGGACACTACATAATTTATACAGAAATTTTTTTCGTGAATACTATCTCAAAATTATTAGAAGTTATGAAAAATTCAGCTTATTTTGGCATATACCCCTCGAAGCGATTTTTATTTTTAAAAAGTTTACCTTTTATTTTTAGCTTTTAAAAAAAGGCTAACTTTTTAACTTTTTTTTGCATGAGTAAAAAAAGTTATAAATGGGCCCATTAAAAAGAACATAAAATATTATACAAACCCTGAAAATTTGGTAAAAATTGTATAAATAATAAGAAAGTTATAGCGATATATATATCTGCAAAATCTCCCGTTTCCTAAGAAAATTGCAAAAACTCTTTAAAAATAGCATTTTTAAATTACTTATACTTTTTTATAACTTATTTATTTTTTACCAAATTTTCAGGGTTTGTATAATATTTTATGCTCTTTTTAATGGGTCCATTTATAACTTTTTTTACTCATACAAAAAAAAGTTAAAAAGTTAGCCTTTTTTTAAAAGCTAAAAATAAAAGGTAAACTTTTTAAAAATAAAAATCGCTTCGAGGGGTATATGCCAAAATAAGCTGAATTTTTCATAACTTCTAATAATTTTGAGATAGTCTTCACGAAAAAAATTTCTGTATAAATTATGAAGTGTCCGAACATTATGTGGTTAGGGCTCGTATATGTACATATGTATATAATAGGTGTACAAGGCAAGAATTAAATGAATTAAATGTAAAATAAAAGAGGATAGGTAGGTAAACATTTTTTTTAGGTAATATCTTAACCACAAATAGGTATTAAATTTAAATTTAGTTAAGAAACGATTATTGTTATACCTATGATAATGGTTACGATTCTACATTCAACAATAATTGTTGAATGTAGAATCGTAACCATTATCATAGGTATAATTATTATGGTACAAATAATAAACAAAAGGTAAACATATTTATTAAAATTCCGAAAAAATACCTTGCTTGAAAATAAGACAAAAACATTCTATTAACTAATAACTTATTAGGAAAAATTAGATATTTTAAAAAAATTGCAACATTCAGTAGATATCTCAAAATATTCTCAAAAAATAATTACTTAATGCTAATAGCTATTTGTATTAATTAATTACTTAAGTAATTATTTTTTGGGAATATTTTGAGATATCCACTGAATGTTGCAATTTTTTAAAAATATCTAATTTTTCCTAATAAATATTCAAAAAAGGGTTATAATTATTAAGATTTTTTTAAAACTGTTAGTTAATAGAAATAATAGTCAGCTTTTCATATAGGTACCTAATATTATTAAATATAAAAATTTAAATTAAATTTATTTATTTCATTGCATGGTCTCCGGCATGGAAAGCATATATTTGCCCCCCTGTTAATTAAATTCAAATACTATACATCTCATTTAAAATACTATAAAGTTCATTTAAATATTACAACATATGTTTAACAAACAAATTAAGTGTAGGGTATATCGGCTGTTATTTTTAGAAGAAATACGTATTTTTTCTAAAAATTACCAGCTGATATACCCCTGGTAGGTAGGTACGATAGTACCTACCTATATTTTGTTTTGACATTTGTTCTGGATAAAACCACTAAAAATAAAACTCTTATGTCCCTTTAGGTAGGTTACCCAAAGATAATACATTATCTTTGAGGTTACCTACTGATTTTTGCATCTCGCTTTGTTATTAATGAAATTAAACAACTTTTTTAAAGTTTTAATTTGATTTAATTTTAAATTTGATCTTGTTAACACTGTTAAATTTTAGAAATTCAATTTTAAAATTAGAATTAGAAAAACCTTTTTATAAAATGGGTTGTATTTTTTATATTTAGGATAAGGGGACTTGCCCCCATTGTCACAAAACCCCTTTAAAACCTTGATCCAACTCATTTTAAAAAATTAATAAATCTTAAATTGTATTTTATTAAAATTATAGTTAAGATTGAGATTTAATAAAAATATTAGTATTTTAATTAATAATGCAGTTAAAAATGTAGGTAGGTACTAAAAAGGTGAATTAAACCTGTATTACAGTCTGCAATTCTACGTGCAATACCTACGCAATAATCTTGCCGTTTCAAAATATCGGTCCTGCTCGATTTTAATTGCCAGTTGCATGCAATGCATGGGGAAAAAATTGGTAAGTTTTTTTTATACCAATCCACACTTGTTTTTTGAAGTCATTTGTGTTTCTTGTATTCTAAATTCTATTAAATAATATATATTATAATGTCGTCTGGCAGGAGCTAAGTTTAATTTTAATTTGACTTTATAATATTTTATAAATTTTTCTATTTATCTTCCGTTGGTATCATGTATAAAGTTTGAATTGGAATTGCAAAGTCTGCAATTACTTGCAACAACTTTCTTGCATGCAAGTTTTATTGCTGACTGTAAAAACTTTGCAATTCCAATTTACAGCCGGCAATTCTTTCGGCAATTGCAATGAAAATTGCCGTAGGCATGCGCGGTAGATACATTTCGACGAATCTCTTGCAATTGCCGAAAATCGGTCCGGATGGATTTTTATTGCCGTTTTACGGCAATTCTGGGGTGAAATCTGGTAACTTTTATGTTACCAACCCTACTACAAATTCCCTAGAGAGACGCTGTTTGACAAACAGTTTTTTAAGGATATTTGTTTTAAGGCAATGCAAGACACTTGCAAGGCCTTGCGAATGTCTTGCCTGATCGTTTACATGAAGCAAGTTTGGCGCAAGAGATGTTAAACGTCAGTCTTAATATAATATATTATGCAAGTTATCAATGAAAAAAATAACTATAATTATATGTTTGGCAAGTTTAAATACAATAAACATACAAATTATACACAGTATCACAATACAAAATAAAAGAAAACAACTTAAAACAATAAAAAGTTACCAGACTTGCAAGGATCTTGCATGGAAAATAGCACAGGTTCTATTTATTTCGTCTTGCAAGAGTGTTGCCTGGGCGCATGCGTACAGTTACAAACTTTCTTGCATTGCTCTTGCCTTGCATGAAACTTGCGTCGTGTAAAGCGGCTTTTATGATTAGCATTGTGTTCAAAGTTCTAGTATCCATTTCACTCATTAATTTTTACATATCTCTACTAAATAACAAATAAACTTAGTGTTTACAAAATCGTATATTTTTCTTCGGTTGGTAGCACGGTAATAAACAGCAAGTTTTCTTGCCATTGCCGGCTGTAAAACAACATGCAAGACGGCCTTGAAAACTAGATGGCAAGAAAAATTGCTGCAAGAAAAATTGCTGCAAGAAGAATTGCCGGCTGTAATACGGCTTTTCTTTCGGCAATTGCAATGAAAATTGCCGTAAGCATGCGCGGTAGATACATTTCGACGAATCTCTTGCAATTGCCGAAAATCGGTCCGGATGGATTTTTATTGCCGTTTTACGGCAATTCTGGGGTGAAATCTGGTAACTTTTATGTTACCAACCCTACTACAAATTCCCTAAAGAGACGCTGTTTGACTTAAACAGTTTAAAGTTATTTGTTTTATGATTGACATTTTGTTCAAAGTTCTATAGTATCCATTTTACTCATTAATTTTTAAATATCTCTACTAAATAACAAATAAACTTAGTGTTTACAAAATCGTATAGTTTTCTTCGGTTGGTAGCACGGTAATAAACAGCAAGTTGTCTTGCCATTGCTGACTGTAAACTTGATGGCAACTTGAAAACTTGATGGCAAGAATAATTGCTGCAAGAAGAATTGCCGGCTGTAATAAGGCCTTTATACCAACCGAACTGGCAATAAAATCGAGCAGGACCGATAATTTGAAACGGCAATAAACTTGCACGAAATGTCGCTTTGCGCTTGCCTTCGTGCAAGATTATTGCACGTAGAATTGCAGACTGTAATACGGGCTTTACAGTCAGCAATAAAACTTGCATGCAAGAAAGATTGCTGCAAGTAAAATTGCAGGCTGTAATACGGGACTAAACGCTAAAAATGGTCGAAATTGACCCTGTGGTTGTCTAGGGTTTCCAATGTCCCCTCTATCTATATCTAGATCCATTTATGGATGATTTATAAGAAGCTGGTTACACAGTGCAACATTTTTGAGGTCATGGAATGTAAACACCGTTTTGAGTGGTGTTCTTCAAAGTACTTTATAACAGTAGCAAAACCCCAGTTGGGTTTTGCTAGTTTGTTTCCAATAAGGATTTTATTGCATTTTAAAAATTTTGACTCAGGCTTGTGTATTAGGGTGGGCCGAAAATCCGCTTTTTTAGAATTTCGTTTATATATACAGGGTGTCCGGGAAAAGGAGGTCAATCCGTTAACCATATATTCCTTGAGTTAAAACAATAAGACTTCCATAATACCATTTTTCAATTTAGAGCTTCATGTTCGATATACAGGGCGACAAAGTTTGAAATTAAAAACCGATTTTTTTTAATAATTCGAGTAATTGATAAGATACTAAGTTTAAATTCGGTACACTACTTCAACATAAATAGTTACATTTTTTGAGACCAACAAAACAAAAAACAATTGTCAAATAATCAAAATAGGGGGGTCCAGTACTCACTGACTCCCCCTATTTTTTAGTACGTGCGCCAATGACTTCCAAACGGAATTTTTTCAGGTAATCATTTATTGTTGAAAATGTTTTGTCTCTTATAAAATTTTGATAAAATGATTTGTTTTAGAGATAATTTGTAAAGTATGGGTCAGTCCATATCAAATTTTCAAAATTTAATTTTTTTTTGAAAA